AATTTTGCACGCTGATATGTGTATGAGAGTAGGATGCTAGTAGTAATTAGTATATCCTGAAAAACTAGTATCTCCCTCTTATAGTATGCATTCTTTGAGACATTAATCCATTGATGTGGAACAGATTTTGCATTTCAATAGATCAGCAAGTGCAATCTTGTGAAGGCATTTTAAGCGAGCTGTTGGAATGATCAATATTCTCATTTACTGGTGGACTTACGCTTGGCTTTTTAACCTATTACAAGGAATCAGTGAGTACTGGGCCTCTATTTTCTGAAATCCTATTGTTTTTGTGTAATCAAAGGCAAGCTGGAGCTAAATTGGTCTCCTAGCCCACACAAACGGTTTAAGAAAAATATTACCTCTTGTTCTTCACCTCTGACCCTATGACTTATCCATACTCTTCCTGAAAGCCAAATCCTCTTACTATTTGAATCACCAGGTCTCAACTTCATCCCTTTTTTTGGATCTTCCTATGATACGCATGTTGCACTCGCCCCCTTCTGAGTTAATGAGATAAAGAGTGTGAGTGTGAAAATCTTCCAGCAGCATTTATAATCCATTGAACATTGAAGGCTATGGAGCTCAATTGTCTGTGGTCCTCCTATACTAAGACTGTTCAAAATATTTGCTTGCTGTATGAAGAAAAAGGCAGCCACACTGGTGGCAAGGGAGGGTTTAAGGGTCTATTTTTCCAAAATTTTATATCCTTTTTCTTGTTAGTATATATGGAAATTGGGTAAAAAAAATCATTTCAAGAAGTCTTGTTTGATCTGCTTGACAGCTAATAAATTTTTATTAACTTTGATGCGTCTGCATATGCTTTAGGATTGGTGTTGGATCCAGTTTAAGACTCTACTGTGAAAATGAAGTATGTCATTTGAGATGACCCTAGTTCTGTAGAATCATTTTTGAAACTGATGCATTTTAGTTGACTTCTTTTCATTAATATGTTTCTTTCCTGAACTTTTGGAGGCGGCTGTTGTGCTTGTGACATCATGAAGGTATAGCACCTTCCCTCAAGATTGAGGTAGGATGTCTCTTGATGAAAGTCAAGTGTCGATACAAATTGTTATAACTGTCCCAACAACCCCCCCTGGGTCTTCACAAATGTGCTTGGAATGATGTAGACGATTTTGCATATGATAGCAAAATTCTGGAACAGGAGCCGACAGATAATTCTGCTTGGAATGAATATAGCTATAAATGAATCTAAATTTTTTCAGCTTGGTGCTTTCAGGATGGAAAAAATAGATTGGAGAAGCTCCAGTAGCTTAGCTAAATCAATGGGAGCAGTTGTGCTGATTACAGGGGCATTTACAATGACTTACTACAAGGGGCCCCCACTCCTGTTGACTCCCTCAACTTCAAACTCATCCCTTCAGCTTTTCTTGCAACAATCAAACTGGGTTATTGGAGGATTGCTCCTTATTGTTGATTGTTTGTTTGCTTCAACATGGCTCATTGTACAGGTTAACTCCATAAAAGTTATAAAAAAAATCAAAAGTTAGTTGTAAACCCACATAATCATCTTGTATTTCATATTTTCCAGGCATCAATCTTGAAGAAATTCCCAGCTGAGCTGATTGTTGTCTTTTTTTACTGCTTCTTTGTGGCCTTTCAATCTGCAATACTCTGTATGTTTGTTGATAGAAACCCTGGTGCTTGGAGCTTAAAAAATCATATAAGATTGATTGCTGTCCTATACTCGGTGGGTAGATTTGAAAATAGAAAAAGAAAACAGTTGTGTTTTCCCTTTACATGCTTAAAATAATATGAACTTAATGACTTAAATCTGTGATGAGGAAAAATGTAGGGTATTTTTGGTTCTACATTCCAAGTTGGCATCTCTACCTGGTGCCTCCACCGGACTGGGCCTGTATTTGTTTCTATGTTCAAGCCCCTAGGTATTGTAATTGCAGCTGCCGTGGGTGTCATCTTCTCAGGGGATACTTTATATCTTGGAAGGTAGTGCATCTTTTTGGGCTTTGAATCATTATGATCCAAAAGGTTTTTTGATTGATTATGTTTGCCTTGTTAGATTAGAATTTTTTGTCATACTATCCTCTTGTTCTCTCTCTTCATTTATATAGAATGCAAAAAGGCATACCAATTCACCATTCTATTTTAATGTAATGCAGTTTTATTGGAGCAGCTGTAATTGTCATTGGTTTTTATTCTGTGATGTGGGGAAAAGCCAAAGAAGAATATGTGGATACTGGAGTAAGAAGCTTTGACCCCCAAAAGACTCCTCTCTTGCAAATTGATACTGAAAAGACATGATTCATTCATAAATCAAAACCAAAGGCTTTTCCTACCAAACAAAATTGGTAAGTTTATCTTAAAAGCTACTCTTTTCTTATCTTAAAATTTCTTGGTTGGGTCAATATAGACTTAGTTTTTGCTCAAGGTCAGACCTACTAAGTAATGCAGGAAACAGTGGACATCTGGATATGAGTGCAAACTCGAGGTGCATTTGGATGTGCAACAGAAATTGAATGAATCCATTGTGTTTGATGATTAATCCAGATGGTAGAAATTCAGTGCCCTTAGCAGGACTATTGTTTGAAAAAGTTTGACAAACTCAGGTCAAGAGATCCTAAAACTGATTCCAACTTTCAAGTCTAGTGATTTAGTATGGCCTTAGCTTTCTTAACCATTTCCAGATGACATACCAATATATGTCTGAAGTGTATGTCCGAATTTATGGCATATCCAAATGTATTTGGCTGAAGGCAAAGTTAAAGACTAAAGCCTGACTTAACCAGTATTGGAATAGTATAAGTTTGATTGAGTTGAATTTTCATTTAGTTAGATATAGTTCCTAAGAATTTCGGAGTAAATTAAAAAATGATATAATTTTGGAACTTATCACAATGCTATGACTATTATTCATAAAATATTATATGACATAGACATAATTACATTTCATAGACATATAACAGGATTATTATACTAGCTTCTCCTATCATCTGGCATTGAACATTATTTGGAGTCCTTGTGCATAATCCTGAATGCTGTTTACTAGCAGAGAAAATTTTGAATACCTAAAATTTTCATTTAAACTATGCTTTTCCTTGAACAATCAGAAACTGGTGTAGGTGTGGATCTGAAGTGTGCATTACATTAGTTTTCCCTGGGAAAAGTATAAGTATGCAAATTTTTCCTTTTTCTTTTTTAATTATTGGACCAACAGGCAGTATTAAAAAAGAAATGCCTTTTATTATCCGACGCCTCTGTGCATGAGGAGGCAATCAGTGCTCGTCTTATATCCTTTTGCACTGTTGAAGGAATTCAGTATATTATACGTCATTGTATTCTTTATATTATTTTTTTTGTCAATGCATTGAATTTTTTTTCTTTCTCTTGCTTGTGTAATGATTCATGTCAAATTCATCATAAGTTTATATTAGAATTAATTCCATACCGACAATTTCAAGCTCAACTTCTGATAATAATATTTTTGTTTCTTTTAAACCTGAAGGGAAGAAGTCTATGAAGCCTGTGTGAGTAGCATGAAGAATTTGTTTCTATGCAATCTTGACATGAGAGGCACGATCTAATATTCTAACACTTGGAAGAAAAGTTCAGCTTTGGACATGGAGTCGGTCAAAACCATCCTGAGCTCTCCATCGAAGAAGGTACTATGACATTAAAAGGGCACTGCTGTCTTACCAACCCCTTTATTGTTTCATTCCAAGTTATCATATAACTGAACTTTGTGCCTGGGAAAGTGAAAGATTGCAAGCTTATTGTGATAGTAGTTAAATTAAAATAATGTAAAAAAATGTATAGAGAATCTCTTTCAGTTCAATTTTAAAAATATGAAGGATTATACATTGTTATATTATCCCATTGATTTGACCAAATGAGTGTATGCACGTTTGACAGGCCCGTTGAAAAGGTACTTACATATCTTATCAATGCTAGAATTCTTGTAATTCAAACCCTAAAAATATTTATGAGGACGGTTTGAATGGTAGTTGTAATTCTGGATAAGACGGTTTTATTGATAAGGGGAAATCTATATCAGGAAAATGCTATCCATTTGATGGTTTCTTTTGTTATAAAACCTGTGGAAATTCTCATGTCAACTGAAATGCTAATTCCTCAGCTTTGTTTAGTAAGTCCCCGTGTGACAACAATTCTATTAAGTCAGGCAGAAATACGCAAATAAAATAACAAGTACCATGTCAAGCGTGATCTATGAATGTCAAGATTACCCAACATTAATTTGTATAAACAAAACATCACGAAAATGTCATTAAACAATAAACTAAGTTACTACCAACTAAGCCAGTTCAGTAAATAATTTCCTGGTTCAGCTATCAATAGAAAAGGCACACAGCACTCTCTTTTCTATCTTTCACATAACGAAGGGTCCACTCTTGCATTTTCCTCATCAAAATTGATTCCCCCTCTCCAAGTAGCCGCATCTCAATCCAGAGGTCACAATAACAGTATTGAGAATGAGAGTGATGATCTTATCATCAGCATTTGGGAGATACTTTTATGGAATTTGTTTGAATATCAACTGAAGCTTCGCATGCAGGTAAAACGAAAAGCTTTAGACAAACTGGGGTCCAGCCATAGACAAGTACGATTCCATCTGTTAATAATGATGTTTAGTATATAACAAGCCAAACACTTGGGTATCAGTAATGCAAAACAAATTAAGCTTCAGGTTTTAGAGTCACTATTATAGTTTGACGTCAGTGGGTGGTTAAGAGTCTTGTAAAATAATCTTTTTTTCAGTAGGGCCTTGGTTAATGCTAGCCACAAAATCATGCTCCTCGAAGAGAAACTACCAAACAAATGGAGTTTTGGGCCATAGTTTTCGATTAATTAGTCATTAAACTTGGCCAAATAATGTAAATTAATAATGCCGATCCTGATTGAGGACAGATTAGACGAAAGAATTTGATTAGTTTTTACAGACGAAACCTATTTCTGTAATAACATGAAGCCACGTCCCCTCACCTCCTTTTGTGCATAGATTATTGAGTCACTCGAGTAGCTTTTTCTCTCTAGAGTAGCTTCACACCTCTGTGAAGAGCTAACTTCTCTCTTTCTTTCTGTAGAAGTAGAAGTAGGCCTCTCTTACTCTGGATTTCTTTACCCTTCTTATTTGGAGATTCTATTCCAACTATAAATACTGGAGATACCTAGATTCAGTCTTCATTTTGTCAGCAGTCTCAGCCTGCAGTTGTTTCTCTATTTATGATCATCCAGTGTGAGCAAGAGCAGTTGAATATATAGATATATAGAGATGTTGGAGAGAGCGAAGATGGCGGAGGCATTCCCATTTACAGTGATGGTGATTATGGAGGGGTGCACTATAGGGTTGACCATTTTGGCGAAATCTGCCATTACTGCAGGGATGAACCCTTTTGTTTTTGTGGTCTACACAAATGCTCTCGGCTCTATCAGTCTTCTTCCTTATTCTTTTTTATTTCATAGGGAGAGGTAATTAAGTTCCTTCATCACTTTCCCTCTTTTTGTTCATATCCATATATATAATATCGATAAGATAATAACCCCTTCTTCTTCTTCACGAAACTCATACAGAATAGAACAATCAATCTTCAGCTTTCCTCTTCTGTTGCGGATCTTCTTCTTGGGTTTAACAGGGTGGGTTTCTCTCCCTTATCTTCTTCTTTATCAAGTTTAGTTTTTGATACAAAATTCATTAAGTTGTGGTTGATATATATATATGTTCATGTAATTTGTAGGATAGCAATTGCTCAGAACCTTGCATTCCTGGGACTATCGTATAGTTCGCCAATTGTTGTGTGTGAAATGGGCCTCATGATCCCTACTATTTCCTTTCTGCTTCAATTCATTATGAGGTTTTTTTTTTTTCCCCTTCAACTTCATTCTTTTTTTTTATATTTTACTTTATCAAGAATAACCACTGACAAAGACTCTCGTACTAAAAAGAATTCTACCCTTATTTTTAATAAAGCAAGGATCACACTTATAATTGGAAAATAACAATAATAATAAAGAAAATGAGTATGTTATTTGGGTACTCATAGGGCACACGATTTTCTTATATTGTTATTTGACAAAATAGAATAACTAAACCACACGGGATTGGTTTTACAGTAAAAAATGTTTACTCTTTTTATTGACTTCAGGAGTTCAAACCACCTTGAGGTCACTTTTTCAGGATTCGAATCACATTGGAATCACCTATTATATTTGTGTCTTATCCTGTAATATTGGGTTTGTAGGATGTTTAATAAGTCCAGAGGATTAATTGAGGTGCACGTAAATTGACTCGAACACCCTGATTATTAAAAACAATATAGAACATAACTAGTTTACCTAATTTATTACTGTGAAGTGTTGGAAGATTTGTGATTAATTCTGAAAAGTTATTACGACCCCCTTGTTACAGAGCTTTTCAAAAAAATATTCCAGGAAGATTCCTTGTAATTTTATTGAGATGCTTTTGATGAATTTTAAGTTCTTTAAAACAAAAAAAAAAAAAAAAAAAAAAAAAAAAAAAAAAAAAAGACTGTTAAATTTGTTGGTATTGGACATCATGGTGAGATGGTCCACTTCTAGTTGTAACAATTTAATGTTAGGTGGGCCAAAACCATTAAATCGCTTTGCTCCGCTCAGGCTCAAATCTTAACTAGACTTCAAGACAACAAACTTTAGTTTGATTGAATTTTTACTTTTAACCTTTTTCTTAAAGAAATGTTTAAGCTGAAGAAAGATTGAAGCCAGCAAATATTGACTTTTAGTATCATGGTCTGAGTGTCAATTTTTCTGGCTTTAGCCCAATTTACAGAGACTGGACCCAACACATAAAATCATAAATGGGCATGGCCCGGATTACAGAGCGGTTTATTGTGGCAGGAAAACAAAACTAGATTTGGGAAGCACAAATATTCGAGTAAAAGTGATTGGCAGCTTGATATCCATCATGGGGGCAATAGTGGTGGAAATATACAAAGGACCATACATTAGAAAAGCTTCTTCCCAACAACTTCAAACACGAAAACCATCCCTCTTTGTTTTCTACTCAACACCAGACCGTTGGCTTATTGGTGGCATCTTGCTTTTAGCTTCTTCTTTATCTATTTGTATATGGAATATTATTCAGGTAATATGATTTATTAAATATTATTCGCTTCTCTTTCTTTGAAACTCACACAATTGTAATTTTTGATTTTCTCAGCTTGGAACCATCAGACAGTATCCCCAAGTGATGAAAGTAGTCTCCTTTTATAGCTTAGCTGGAACTATCCAATGCGCAATATTCTCCCTGATTGTGGAAAGAGACCTTGATGCCTGGAAATTAAAGCTAAACCTTGATCTCCTTCTCATTATTGCAACAGTAAGTGCATATTAAATTGAATTTCAATCGTAGATTTTTACTTTCAACAAGAAATTAAGAATATTGCTGTACAAATACTGTGTTTTACAGGCAATCTTTACGAGTATAATCCGTAGCAGTGTCCACATCTCGTGTACACAGATGAAGGGCCCTTTGTATGTGCCCATGTTCAAACCCTTTGGTATTGTGTTTGCAACTGCTTTCGGTGTTGGTTTCTTTACAAATTCTCTTCGCTATGGAAGGTAAGTACCTTAATTAAACTTTGATTTCTTCGCTTTTAACATAATTCCTCGACCAAAACAGGGTATAACAATCATGTACAGTGTGATAGGAGCAGTTATAACCGGAATGGGGTATTATACTATAATGTGGGAACATGTTAGAGAAGGTGATGAATTACATAAACGCCATAATATCGATAGACTTGATTCTTCAGACGAAAAAGTTCCTCTCTTGGAAGAAGAATCAGAAGTATAAGATCTCTATGCCAAGTAAGTAGTCTGATTTATATTATCTATGACTATGATAAATCAAAGAAAAAGAACAATATAATGATATATTGAAGAAACTCAAAAGAGAGAAAGTTGGGGTTTCTTTCGTGAGAACGGCTCCAAAAAACAACAATCCAATGGAAAGATAAAGATAACTATGTTCCAAAACGAAGAGAGAAAAAATTAAACATGGAAAATACTAAATACCCTGAAGATAATGATTCTAACAGACGGTGTATGGAAAAAGTTCTTCTGGGTCCTCAAATACACTTATAAATCTAAGATTCATTATCCATTTGTTTTGCAGTTTCTTAATGGCTGGAGCCTCGAGGTAGTTCATCAAGCTTTGTGAAGATACCGACAAAACAAATATGTATTCTGTTTGATAAAAACAGAGAGGAAACTGGTGTGCGCTGTAGATATTTGTAAATTGGGAAAACTGGGCTTGTTGCAGATTTTTGTATGTACATGTTTATAAGGCTGTGATGGGTGAGACCGTGAGAGAAATGAATGAGAAGGACTTTGTAATTATTTTTCTTTCTGCAAGGTCCTTCCATTTATAGAGTTTCTCTGTGTTTTTACGTTTCTGTTCAATTTTTTTGTTTTCTTTTATCTGCTAATTGCTATTATCAATTGTTGTGAGGACAATCTCTGAAACACATATTCACGTCACTTGTCATTCCATTTAGGATTAAATTTATTTACAAGTTTGTCATTATAACAATATATAAGCTTACTTTTTACCCGAATTAGAGATCTTTGACAAACTGCATTTGTACTTAAAAAAGAAAAACAAACAAAGAGAGCAATACAAAAAACAGTGGACGTAAGGTTTGCATCCAGCATCCAAACCACTTTAAAAATCTATTGTTATTTGTGTTTATTGATTCAGCATCATATCACAGATTCCAAACAATCCCCTATATGACTTCATCAAAGAATCTACCCTACTTCTCGTTGGTGCGAATCTTAGCATAATATCACTATTGCACATATTGAGACTTCCGGTCGGAAATAATGTTAATTTCTATTATAACAGGATAACTATTTTATTTACTGCACTGCAACTAACTATATATAAGCATCGAATTGATAATTGATAGACTGAATGGCCAGGGAGTGATTCTGTTGGCATTGAAGACCATCAAGTTTTGCGTCAGAAGTCAAGTTAGCAAGAGGTGGAATGGGCCGAGGATTTAATTATGTGATAGCTGAGTGGCCAATGTATTAATGGACTTTTTATGGCATCTCACCAAATCTCAGCTTTTGGGGAAGTAAGAAACTTTCTTTGCCCATAATCAGACATCTTTGATGATCTCAAGGACAACTGATTATGTAACTTGACACTATGATATGCCTCATGGAGTACACAGAGCAAATTTAATGTAGGGAGTAGCATAAACTTGACCAAACCATTACATAATTTAACTGATAAATGAGTAGAAACTCATATTGCAGACTAAGAAACCACATAGAAAGATTGAAACTAGTATCATATTGTGGAAAGAGAGAGACTCCACATTATTTATGAGGGCAAAACGCAACCTTCCTGTAGGCAGATTGCATCTTATGTTTTGGCAATGTACTCATCCACTTCTTTGAAGTTCTTGACAGCAAATTCCTTGATGACGCTTGGATCAGGAATCTCATTGCTTGCCTTTTCATACTCACATGACCATTTCACCAAGCTCCCATCTCCCTTTGGACTTACAGCTACGATGCCCTTGAAAACCTTATAGTACTTCAAGAGATCCCCATTAATCACACGGTAAGAAACCTCCTTCTTCACATCATCTACAGCTTCGATCTTTTCGGTCGATACCTTAACAATAGGAGAACCTAAAATGCAAACCACCAAGAATTAATTACAACAAACTACATTGACAATTATGTTTCTTCTAATATGATATGTGCTAATTAAAATCATGAAAATTTTACCTTCAGCATATGTTATGCGACGAACAGAGCCAGGGGCCTTGCCATCGCCCTCAAGAACTTCAATGCTCTTGTAATCGTGAGAAAAGGCTTTGGGAAAGAGAGAGGTGGAATCTCTGATAGCCCCCCAGAATTTATCAGCAGAAGATTTGACCTCAATCTCAACATCAAGCTTTCCACCAGTAGCCATCGTGTTATATGATGTAGAAAATAGAGCAAAATTCAGAGACAAGTAGACACTTGAGAACTGATCACCATAGGCATAAGTATATATAGTAGTGAAGGGAATGGTTTTTAGTTGAGTGCATTAAATTTACTAAAGACTACGCTCAACTGCCTTACCGGTTACTATTGACATTCCATTGAAAATGCATTTATCACCCATCTGTCCACCACTAGGCGTTTCATTCCGCTATTACTGTTTTAAATTTCATTCTGAGCCAAATCAAACTGCAATCAAAGCCAAGATTACTGATTGAAATGGTTGTATATGCAATTTCAGTACCATCTTCATTCATAAATGTGTCGGTGCGGCAGGTGAGACGTGAGACCAACAGTTAAATCATTCAGATCTACATGTGAGATTGTCCTTGCAAAACTTAATACGAACTGAATATACTACTATATACAAGAGAAAAACACTGTGGCCAACTTGGCATTAGCCTGGACAAATAGAAGAGCTTTCCAAATTCATATCATTTTTAGAATTATTCTTCAGTATGAAGGATAGNGCGGTGGATATTATACCAACCCTCTTGCAATGTCATATTAGAAGTGTTGATACAATGTCCTCGGCATATTTCTCTAGCTCTTCAATGTCGTCTGGGATGTCCGTAACCTTTCTTTTAGCATCATAAATCCGAGCTTGACCTTTATATACTTTATACTCCGATACAATCGATGCAAGAGCCTAAGCCGTTGTGTGTTCAATTCGCTTATTAGTATAGATTTTGTCTACAGCTTCTTACCACCAGACAAGGCGCATGAAACCAATTCTTGGATCGGAAGCTACATCAATAACTTTGGAAGTTTCAACATTGAAGGCGCGAAGTGCAAATGCAGCTTTCTGCATACTAGCTGGGAGTTCGAGGAGGCAGAGGTAGTGATGGGAATCATAATTTCGCACTTGCTGCACGTAAATTACTTGAAGCACCATTCATCAAATCCTTCTTGTGATTTTTCCGACATATGCGTAATACATTTCATTAATGTCAAGAATAAATAATGATCTAAATCAAAGAAATAGGAACAACCCTGTTTTTTGAAACAATATTTATAAGTAAAGCAAATTGACGAGAATTGAGTAGAGAACGAAGACTGCACCAAATATACATGTTCATAATGCTTTGTGTTTAATGTCGATAGCGGCTGTGGGTTAGGGAGAGAGAGAGGGGCGACGACTGGTGAAGGATAAGGGGACAACTATGGGATAGGAATGGAAAGAAAGGCAGTTGTGGGAAATTGACTTGATTTGGGTTTGCAATGGTATGGGTATGTGAAGATGACATTGTTTGTGAGGGAGGGAGTGAGGGGTGGCGGCTGTTGAACAGGGCGGAGACGGCATAGGTTAGATTTAGGGTTTTCAGTTTTATTACATTTTTTTTTTCCTCTGAGGTTTTCTTGAATAATTTTTCCTGCTAGAATTATCTCAAGGGGCCATTTAATTAGTTGTAATAAAAGATTATTCCGGTAATATATCCTTTAAACCGGCATGACCTTGTTTGATTGTTAGGTAAGAAAATATTTCAGTAACCTTCCAATAGTAATAGCAATTATTGTATGTGATAACGAAGGTAATCTAATTACTGAAAAAATGTGGTATTTTAAGATTATTGGACCCATAATTAATTAACATTTCAGACATAAATACCCTTAAACACAAATAATCCATGGCCGTTTCCAACTAGATCGACGCATAGCTGGCCAGATTTGATCGGTCGTGCGCCATTTTGACAATTGTCGATGGCAGTCGACAATCGTCTTAGGTGATTAGGAGTATTTTGTTAATTTTTAAACTTTTATTATGACTGGAGTGTTTTACCTAAATTCTTAAATGTAGAGGGTTACTAGTAATAATCTAAATAATAAAATAATAATAATAGTTTATAATAATATTTAAAAAGAAAGCCAATTCAGTAAAACGCTCTCTCGTAACTATTTTATTCTCCCAATCAAATATATTAATTATTTATACCCAACAATAACCAAACATATATAATATAATATTCCCCTTAATGTTTAAGATAATTTATCTCAGTAGTAATTCTATTTTTAGAAATATAATATTTCCTAAACCATTCAAGGATATTATAGCAATTTCCTTAAAAAATCAGTTTTTTCTTTTAAAAAAAATTTCGAAAAAATATTTTTCCTGAGAAATTATATTAAATAGCATCTTTTAAGGGTATATGCACTTTTAATACTATTTAAAAAGTACATATACCCCTAGATGTCCGATACCCCCCTATCAGATGGTATCAGACACTTTTCTTCAACCCTTGGGCTACGAAAAGTGACCAGTACCACCTATAATAGTTATAGGTTTCGTTAAAAATATCAAAATTCTTCGATTCACAATATAGTTAAAAATTAATCCAACAACCAATATTAACCACCCACTAATATAAAAAATCTTAATTAACATGTTTCCTAAACATTAAATTGAATTAAGAATCAGTTTATAACTTTGGTTTCAAATTCTTCAATGGAGGGAAGGGTTAGTCTAACTTCGAAGAAGATGGGTGAATGAGTTCGGATTTATTTATATATGACGGCATTTTCATCCTTCAATGGGCATGGGAATGCTAACTTTGACCCTAACCTGCTCCTAATTATATATAATATTTAACATTAAAATTAATAAGTATTGTTTATTAAAGATTATATTATTTACTTTAAAAAAAAAAAAAAAAAAAAAAACAGAAGAGAACCCAGCCACTACAACCGTATTCCTCCATTGACTTATTTCCAATTTATTTTCTGTCATCTTATTCACTTGCAAATCTGAAAATAAGGTATGTAATTAACTTGTTTAACATATAATTACTATCATTATATGTTTTATTCAACTTTATAATTGTATGAACATTAACCTTATAGTAAATTTTTTTTCTTTTATATTGTCAACTTAAGTAGTTTAGGTTATGAATTATTATATGAATCATGATTTCACGTTATTTAGAATCAGATATATAGAAAAGTTATTATTAAGTTCAATATTATTATTATTTTTTTTTTTTTTTGTTTATGATTTGTTTGGATAATTTTTTGTGGTGGAATTATTAAACTTTGAATATAAATTTTATATTAGATAATTAAAATTATTATTTATCAAAATTTATCCTAAGAAATAGTTTCATAATTCATATATTGTGTTATATATAACTATGTATATAACCAAAGCCGTCCCATTTTTTAGAATAGAAATGGGGCAGATTTGGGAATGCTAAAAGAGGTGGGCATAGTCACATAGACATGATTTCTTAGTATCCAACCCAACCTGCCCCCTTGACATCCCCGGGTTTTTTCTTTTACAGAAAGTGCCAGAAACCAGGGCTTTGTTTGGTTCAAAATTTGGAAGTTTTAGGAAAAGTTTTTTGAAAAAAGTTAAAAAAAAAGTTGAATTGGGCGGGTATTACGATGTAGGATTTATAAATTAATAAAATACCCCTTATGTTTGTTTTTTTACAAAATACCCCCTATAATAAAACATTAAAAGTTAACAAAAACACCTCCAACCCACCCTCAAATACCCCCAACCGGCCACCACCACCGGAGGTGGCCGGAGTAGCCTTATCGGTGCATGACCGGCTGGATCTTGCCGGTCGTGCGCCGATATGGCCTTTTCCAGCTAGATCCACGGTGGATCTGGCCGGCAAATGCCAGATCTACGGCCAGATCTGACCGTATTTGCTCTCAACGATGACCAACAAACGGTCGTCGTTGATGGTCAATGACGACCGTTTGTTGGTCGTCGTGACCGAACGGCCAGATCTTTGGCCTTAGATTTGGCTTTTTCCAGCCAGATCCATCGTGGATCTGGCCGGAAAAGGCTAGATCGGCGCACTACCGGCTAGATTTAGCCGGTAGTGCGCCATCCTACCAAATTCCGGCTATTTTCCGGCGGTGGTGGCCCGAATCTGGTAAATGTGGATTGTTGGGGTGTTTTTGTAATTTTTAAAAAAATATTTAAGGGTATTTAATTAAATTAACAAATTTAGAGGGTTTAAAAAAAATTGAATAATATTGAAAATAGTATTCCCAAAAATGAGAGTTTTTGGGTATTTTATTGTTTAACTTTTTTGGGAATACTAAGAGTAGTATTCCCAATCTTGAACCAAACGAAGCCCAGTATTTTAATTTTTTTAAAAGGACGAAAATAATTTTTTTTTAAAAAGAATAAGAATTATTATTTTTTTTTAAATCCATTTAAGAAAAATCAGTTTAAGGAAAATAAATAAATAAATTATTTTAAGAAAAATAAGAGAAAGCCAACCCTTCAAACTTAGACGCATCACCATCAATCTTCTTATCCTTATCCAAATCAACACGCAAAAACACCAATAAGTTCACACCAACAATATTCTTACTCAAATTAACACACAAAAACACCTCCATGATCCCACCATAAATCCAATAAGTTAGTGCAAGGAAAATGTTTGAAAAAAATATTTCAAGTGAATAATGTAAAACAAAGCAGTCAAAAACAATAAAGAAAAGTAAAATCCGCAAAGATGCAGAAAACCAAGCGAAGCAGTGTATAAGGGCCTGATATAGGTTGTATCAAGTGCGCCTGCCGAAAGAAATCAGTAAAATTTCAAAGTTACAGGTTTTAGCTAAATTACTTCAATTTTTTTTTTTTTTTTTCTTGTAGAATGTGATTTTGACCTAGAATGCATTGCCACCCAAGAAACTTAGAAACATTAAAGAACAAAAAGATCTCCCAAAACAAAAATGTTGATACAAAATTCTGCACCAAGTAGCATAATCCAATCGATCTTGCTGGGATCGGAACCGATGTGTGCATGATTAGTGAAAATCAGCAATGAATACAAATTAAACGAATTAAAAACAAAGAGGCTTTTAAAGTGGTTCCGCGAGGTTAACAGCCTATGTCCACTGTGTTTTTGTATTTGCTGTGAGAGCTTACAATGCAATTCTTGTCAGAAATTCATAACCCCTTCCTCATCATTTAAGGGGGTTTTTATACAAGATTTGTACAAAGAAAAGAGCGAAATTGAGGGGATTATAATTTATTTGGATCGTAATTTTGATATTC